TCAAATATGATTTTCATCCCTTTGTGCAATACCATTTGTGTGAGTGTACACAAATACACAAGGTGCCTCTGGAAGACAAACGTACAGGAAGGCATTGTACAGGAACTCGTTTGAGACTATGATTCAAACACCGGAAATCTCAGTGGTAATCAAACTATGGATTTGGTTGTTTTGTTTTCACATTACAGCTGGAAGTGCAGAACGCCACACACAATGTCTTTAAAGCTGATCCTCCCCTGGCTAGATGACTATGTCCCAGGAACACATCCACAACCACGTGTGCCTAAGGAACACGTCCACAACCACGTGTTGGCACTGCCAACCTCATTCACTGCTCTGCTAGCATGAGGGAGAAAGGTTGATTGCAATAGTTAATCTTGACAACTTGATTGGACTTATACTCACCATGGGAACCAATCTCTGGGCATGTGTGTGTAAGAGATTATCTAGATTAGGTTAATTGAAGTGGGAAGACCCATCTTAAGTAGGAACAGTACCATCCCATGGGCTGGGATCCCAGACTGAATTAAAAAGAAGAAAGTGAGCTGAGCACTAGCATTCATCACTCTGGGCTTCCTGACTGTGGCTGAAATGTGACTAGCCACCTTCTGCCCCAACCACCATGACTTTCCTTCCATGATTCACTGCACCCACAAGTTGTGAGCCCAAAATAAACCCTTTCTTCTTCAAGTTCCTTTTGTTAGATTATTCTGTCACAGCAACAGAAAACTAATACACTGGTATTAATGCTTTTTTTTTTTTTTTGGCCTTTTTGAAACAGGGTCTCCCTGCAGCTCCAGCTGGCCTGGAACTCACTATGTAGACCAGGCTGGCCTTGAACTCACAGAGATCTGCCTGCCTTTGCCTCCCGAGTGCTGGGATTAAAGGTGTGCACCACCACGCCCAGCTTAATGCTATTTTTTAAAAAGATGAAACAAGGACTGGAGAGATGGCTCAGTGGTTAAGAGCACTGGCTACTCTTGCAGAGGACCTGGGTTTGATTCCCAGCACCCAC